AAAAATCTACGGGAAATTTTGGAAAAATTGGGTACATCGTTGAGTAGTGATGTGAGCGTTTAGCGCGGGCGTGTCGAACGATTGTGGATTGCGAGAATGTGAAAGATTTGAGAGTGGCGCAAATTTGCGTAGAAGCATTGGGGGTGAATTTTGATGAGTTGAATTTACCAACGATTATAGCATTTTGCAAGCTGGCGCGATTTCAACCGAAGGTGTTGTGGGCGAGTGAGAAAATAGGAGTGAATATTGAGACGATTATGAGGATGTGTGAAAGTGCGCGAAAAAATCCGGAAGCGGATTTGGGAGTTTTTCGCGACATTATGATTGCTGTTGGAAGACTTGGGCTGCAACCGAGCGAGGAAATTCAGCATTTTCTATCGGTGAAAGTTTCAGATGGAATTTCGGAAATTCGGAAAGTGCGGGAACTACTGCTGATAGCCGATTGTGCTAATAAGCAAACTCATGTTGACTATTGCCTTTTGCATGACGTAGCTCGGCAAGCGTCGAACTTGATAGAAAAAATGGAAATTTCGGATTTAAATTTCCTGATGGGAATTTTCGCGCGCCAAGAAGTTTACGATGGTGAGTTTCTTGATCGGGCGCGGGAAAGGCTGGTGGAGTTGCTCGGAAATTGTGAGAAGGATGGTATGACTGTTGCGCAGACGATGTCGTTGATGACGGTCATCTCGAGGCTTAATACGTGTCTTGATCCGGATGAAGTTTTGTTGGAATTGTTGTGCATGCGTGCAAGAGAACTTATGGGAAATTTTTCTGAGAGTAATATCGCGCATATGTTGTTGGCATTGCAAAAAAGGCGACCGATGAGAATAGAAGGAGCTGTTGGTGAGTTGTTGAAATCAGTTGAGGAAAAAGAAATATCGACGTGGACTGGCAGCTCCACACGCAGTGCGTGTGGAGCTGCAACGGTGTTTTGCGCGTTGTCGAAGTTGTCGCATTTTTCGGAAGAACTGGCGGGAAAATGTTTAACGGTTGTGAATAAAAAGGGTATGGGTAGGCTGGGAGGAGCTCAAAGTCAACAGCTATTGGCGGTGTTGAGTCATCATGTGGGAGAGATTCCTAAAGGGCTTATGAAAACGGTAAGTATCTTAGGTTGCGCGTGGTAAGATACGGAATAGGTTGGGTGAGGAAATATCTTAGGTTGCGCGTGGTAAGATACGGAATAGGCTAGGTGGGGAAATATCTTAGGTTGCGCGTGGTAAGATACGGAATAGGTCCATCTTGTGCCGTTCTTTTCAGACGTTGAGAGGCCTTCTGGACAACCTGTGCCGACCAGCGATCGTCGGAAGTCTCAATCAAGTCCAGACGGTCGCCGTATTGACCGCTCTCGCCAAGCTCGAGGTTCGTCAAGAATTCGTCATATCGTCGCTGATGAGGTCCCTCACGAACGACACGGAGGAGGTGAAAAAAGGCGGAGCGAAGCTGGCGAAGAAACTTCGGGCCTTGGGGACGACATTGCCGACAAGACCATTTGATCTGATGAAAACGGTGGAGAATTTAACATTTGAAAATCAACTTGATCCGGCGCACTGGACGAGCATTTTAGCCGCCATAGAAGACCTATCAGCGTGGAGTGCGACCACAGTTCACTTGAGTTTAACGTTGAGATCGCTGTTGTTGCATAATGGGTTGCAAGGCTTGAGGGCAATACATATAGCGCAAGCGATGAAACCGTTCTGTCATGGGGAATGGCGGGATTTGGTGAGCAACGATGTCGTGAGTGAAATAGATGAGCAGGTTGAGGGTGCCTTGGCGGTTTTGTCGGATGTTAACGGGCAGAGGTTCGATCCTGGAGGGGACGATTTTTGGCTCGACGAATTTGCCCATCTCTGCATGGGAGCTCTACTGCGACACGAAGTGTATCTCATCAGCACATGGAGCGTCTTGAATACCGTCAGAGGCGTCTTGGCGGACTTTGAAAAGAGCTGCCAGGTCGAGTGGACTTCTGGGGAGGCGGCTTTCATACAGCGATTGGCGCAAGTTGATAGCGAAGAAGCTGCGGCTGAAAATCGATTGAAATTGATGGTGAAAGAAGTTTAATTTTGAAGAGTTGCCCATGTTGTTGTTGTAGTTTCGGACGTGTTTCGTAAAGTGCCTGATGTTGATGCGTTGGTTAGGGTGGGAGGGCGTTGAGGAAATGCAAGATTGCAAGATTCACGTGATAATAGAAATTCAGGTATGACTTAATCAGTGGATATTATGATATAAAAGTATCTCAAGGCAGCCTTGGTTGTTGATAATCTGTATTAGGATCAGCTGATGACTAACTTTTATCAGCCTTCTTAGCTTAGTTGGTAGAGCACCCGCTTAGTAAGCGGGAGGTCGTCGGTTCAACTCCGGCAGAAGGCTTTTTGCAAAAAGCCTTTTCCGTGCCAGAAGAATCAGTAGTTCTATGATTAGCATCTCTGAGTCATTGAGTTACCCAAAGGACTTAACACTACTTACCATTATCAACTAATAAGAAAGACCGCGAGAAGAACTTCCCTCATCCCCTGCATGTCTTGCGGTAGACTCGCACTTCCATAACGATAGTCTCTGAAAATGTGATATTGATGATGTGATGATTCTGATGGTCGATTCAAATCGGCAACCGCTCGGGTTGTAATCGAATCACCCACAGCCTGTGGGGCTGTGGATATAAAACGCTCCAAGAACCCTAGCGCTCGCTACGCGATGCCTCGTAGTAGGAGATTCGTACTGACGCGTGGGAGCGGTTGAACTCTCTTTCTTCTGGGCTGATGTTCACCCTGGCCATACCCAGCCTGTGTTTTTGAAGGGGTAGTTGGCATACTAGTGTAACGCAATGAGTCGATCTGATGCAAAGAGCGGTACTGATGGGAATTATGGATCAGCTCAGCATAGCGTGAGCGATATAGTACACAATCGTGTCTACAGTCAACATCACAGCACACAATGGTGTCTACAAACAGCATTACCATTCTGGGCACATGTTGGTAGCTAGGCCTGGCGATTCAACCTTACATCAAGACTCTTGATGACATCCGCGACAGGACGAGGGAGAAAAGCACTATACACGTATAGTTTCAAGGGGGCTGAAACACCGATGCAGTCCGATAGAGCTAATGACAAGGTCCTCTCGAACTTGTCATAGCTGAAATATAGTTTACTAGCAGTACTAATAGTACTGTACTATCTCTCAGAACATTTGACAGTGTAGGATCATAGTAGCTTTCTCTATGGACTGGCAAAGACCAGGACTTGCTAAAACCGGTGAGGCTTGAACCGATCCTACGACCATCACTCGACACGAAATATAGGGTCTTTACAGCCGGACTGTTAACTTTGAAGCCAAGAACGTGCTCACGCACCCGAGATGGATTCAATGTAACTAGTTCCGAAATGTCTTCATTCGAGAAGTTCACCACCGATAGTGGAGGTGATACTATAGGCTGCATCACACAGGTAGGATGAAAGGATTTCTCATCCTCTAAGGGTGCGGTCGGGGAGTCAAAGGGCGCTGCACGATGTTCACCCTGGCTCAGACACCTGGCTCGGGTCTCCCTATAATCGGGGTTCTGCCTGTAGCTCAAGTAGGTGGCTATCTTAGCCGTTTCCCAGCCTTACATCCTGTTGTAGTTCAACCCATAACCAATCGATAAATGCGTGGGCGTAACCATAGACGATGCGAAATATTAACCACGCACTTGGGATTCCCAAGTTGGGAAACCTGCCCTACACATTAACCGCATGGATCGGCATTGGCAGTTATTATGGTTACCATAATATGACATGGTCCATATCCCACGTGTGGCTCACTGCAGGCTGCCACAGCCTAGTTAATCACCGTCTCAGACGGTCCGTCTGTGAAGCCGGAGGCTTGACACTCTGCAAGTAATCATACCAGTTTAAGACCCGTGCATAGGTTATCTTCTTCTCAATAAGCAGCACTTCCATGTGCAATATGTCGTAAAGGATGCGAGTCATTTCTCGCAACACCAAAGGCTCAGGAAATTTGCAAACCGGCAGGACTCGACGGGACCCGTCGGACGGGTTCTCCACCATCATGGTTGACATGCTGGCATCATTAGGAAACTCAAGGCAATGATTATTGGAATCTAGAGACAATCATACTCATCGAACCTTCAGGTGACGCTCCAAGTTCAAATTGAGCTGCTCAAGCTAAGATTCAAAAGTTATGCACAACTACAAACCCACAACGCCTAGCACACGTGCGGCGCGTGTGAACGTTGCTATTGTGCAGTTCGAAAGACGTGAAGTCTTCGGCGAGCTTCGAGCCCCAAAGTTCTCGAAAGGAGCGAAACTCGCGTTCATAAAGGTATAATCCTCCGGCTCGCCTCCTCGTAGAAGAGGGTGTTCCAAACTCGTGAGGTAGAAAGTTTATCCGTCGTATTTCTCGGATGCCGAAGGCCGGCCATTATGTTGTAAATAATGAGCCTTTCGAGGCTTTCGTCACCGCTGAATTATTTTCATCTCAATCAACTCTCTCCGGAAGAACCTCTTCTCGAGCCGTATTCAAATAGAAATATCTTTCTTTTCGTGTTGGCTTGACGCTGCTCCGTAGCTCATTAGTCGTACGCGGGGCCCGCGTCGCGGGCGCTCGGAGGACTTCAGAGTCTAGACGTTGTGATAGTGTGTTGCCTTCGTGGTCGCCACATATACAACTAGACAATCCAAGACTCTTGGAACAGTCCCTGCCTAGTATGAAAGTTACCCCAAAGTTGCTTGACGTTTTGGTGAAACGCGAGAACTGTATGAATATGAGTAATAAAATCAACTTCTCCTCCCCCAACTTGGGGGCTATTTTAGTCTTGGGGGCCCCAAGACTAAAATAGCATCCTCAGAAGCTGACTCTGTTGAGGATGTTATGTACGCATGCGCTCCAGTGGTAATCTAAGAATGCG